TCCCCTTTTCTGGGCGTGCTCCCCGTTAAGCCCCGCCCCTTCCCCTATATAAGCGCGGCGGGGCCGGCGCAGCGCGTCCATCGCGGTTCGGACGCGGCGAGAGCGGAACCTCCGCGGGGGCTCCTCCCTTCCCCGCGCGTCCCCAGCGCATGCGCGGGGGCGGCGCCGCGCAGCGCGCAGGCGCGGGCCGGGCCGCCATGGCGGCGGCGCCCGAGGCCTTCCTGGTGCCGCCTCCGCCGCCTCCGCCCCCCGCGGCCCCTCAGAGACCCCCCGAGACCCCCCGGCCCCGCAACGGCCTCCGCGCCGCCGGCGGCGGGGGCGGGAAGCGGCGCAGCAGCTGCGGGGCCAAGCAGCCGGCGTGGAAGCGGCGGCGCCGCGCGGCCTCGGAGTGCGGGCCGGTGCTGCCGTCGGAGTTCCTGCTCGGCGGGAACATCTTCGACCCGCTCAACCTCAACAGCCTCCTGGACGAGGAGGTGAGCCGGGCGCTCAACGCGCGCACCCCGCAGTCCTCGCCGCTGCCGGCGCGGGGCAGGGACCCCGTGGAGATCCTGGTGCCGAGGGACATCACGGACCCGCTGAGCCTCAACGCGCCCGGCGACGACGGGCCCGAGGTGCGGCTGGCGAGCCCCGCCAAGAGCGGCCGGAGGAGACACCGGCACCGCGGGCAGCAGCGGGCCAACAGCGCCAGGAACAGCGCCAGCAGCACCGCGAATAACGGCGGCGGCGGCGCCGGGAGCAATGTCGGCGGCGCCGGGAATAACGCCGGCGGCAACGGCCCCGAGGAGCCCCCCGAGCCCGGCCCCACCGGCCGCCACCGCAAGCGCCGACGGACTTGCAGCAAATCCGAGGGGCCGCGCCCGCCGCCCCCCCCTCCCGCCCAGAACCACGAGAAGCCCCCGCAGGAGAAACCCCAGGAGAAGGCGGGGAAGCCCCCGGGAAAGGCGCCGCGGCGCCAGGAGCGCAAATTCCAGTACGGGAACTACTGCAAGTACTACGGGTACCGCAACCCCGACGTGGAGGACTCGCGGCTGCGGGCGCTGCGCCCCGAGTGGTTCGCGGGCAAGGAGGTGCTGGACGTGGGGTGCAACGTGGGGCACCTCACCCTGAGCATCGCCAAGCGCTGGGGGCCCAGCAGGGTCGTGGGGCTGGACATTGACGGGCGGCTCGTGCGCTCGGCGCGGCAGAACATCCGCCACTACCTGTCCGAGGGGCTCGGGGAAGGGCAGGGAGGGGAGAGGAGGGGGTTTCCAGCCGCGCTCTTGGCCAGCCGGGGCCCCATCGCGGCCCCGCAGCTCCCCCCGGACGGGCCCGGGGCCGCCGAGTTCCCGCACAACGTGGTGTTCGTCACGGTGAGCGCGGGGTCTGGGGGGGCCCGGAGGGGGCCTGGGGGG